CGACACCGCGCCGACCCTGCAGGAAAAAGGAGACCCGCCGCACCGCCGAGTTCTAATCGACCGACCGACCAACGGACAAACGCCGAGTACGCGCGTAAACGCGTACCGAGACCCATCGGCGAAAAAGGGAGAGAAGATCCGGCCACGAGAAACGGAGAAACCGAGCGCGGGAGAACGTCGTCGGGAACGAGAGAGATGTTCTTGTTTGCAAACGGAAAGGCGCGGTCGGGACGAGGGTTTTCTAGCGCTCGAACGAGTCGCGAATCGCGTTAGCCTGTCGTTGCACCGGATACTCGTACATGTCGGCTTGTTCTCGTAGGAACTCGTTCATTTTCCTTTTCTAACGTCTGCTCGTTCGAAAACCCCGTAACCGTTGCACGATGGAAACGAGACGTCTACGCTTGGATTATTCGGAAACAGATATCGGCAACGCTTTCGAACACAAATCGGGACATCGTTACCATAAATTTATCGCATCCGATTGCCTCCGATGTTCGATTTGAATTGTAATGTTTGATTTGAATTGTAATGTTAGGTACTATGGGTGTAAACGTTGGATCTTTCTCGATCCAATGTACCTCGCGGCTCTCTTTTTGAGCAGTGGTCCGCGCGACGGTTGGAGCGCCGGCCCCGCCACGGACCAACCGTCGATTTCTCGCGATCCAGCCACGTTGGCGCCCGCGAGGATCGCGCGGCCCGTTTGTTTCCTCCCGCTCCTAATGCCGCTCCTAATACCGTTCACCGGCTTTTTCGGCTCCCGGACAAAGGGTCAAAAGATTCAGTTTCCGCACCGTGCGAATCGAGCATCACGGAAGCTTAACGGCAACCCCCCTCGCGTCCTCCGACGCTTTCCGCTTTTCTCTTTCGGTGCTTTGGTCCTTTCTCGCGTTCCTGAAGCCGAAATGTTTCTTTTCGTTTCGAGGCAGGGTTATTCTCGGAGAGGGCCGCATTGTCCGTCGAACGACATTCTTAGAAGCGTGTTTCTCGATTCGTTCACCCGTTTACGTTCTTGGCTGGAAAGGAGAAGCACTTACGAGGCATGTACGATCGAGTCGGAGGTTCTATGGAGGAGAATTCGCGAACGGCGGTATTCCTCGCGTAACGCGACCAGCTTCGTTTCTCACGGTGCGAGTCGGTTACCGGGAGAAAGACCAGGGCGTTCGAAGGCCGTTCGTTTGACCTGTTCGTTTTGCGGCTGCTACGAACTCGTCTTTACCACCGTGTTCGCGTCTCGGTACAGCCTCGTGATTCGCGTTGGATTCCGCAGGAAATTGCGCGGAGGAACGTGCGACTCGAGGCGGAGGATCGCGTTCCCGCGCAACGGAGCCGATTCGAATTCGCGCGCTCGCGGGCGATAAACAACGGATCGGTGAACGAAAGGAGATGGCAGGAAATAGAAGGGAGAAAAGAAATTGGTCAGAAGGGAGCCCGGCTCGCTGTTGCTGGGGGCACGGATCAGTCGGTCCAAGTCGGGCGAAAACGCATCGAAAAAGTAACGGATGAACGGGGAAACCGAGATACCGAAAGAACGGAGAGAGAGCGACGAATGGGCGAAGTAGGTGGGGAGGACGCGATAGGAAAAAGAAAAAGACGAGAAAAGGCGGGAAGATGGAAAACGCGAGAGACGCGGCGGGAGACGAAAAGAAAGCGAGAGATACGAAAGATAGGGATAACGAAATGAGAGACGAGGAAGAGAAGAAAGCGGGAGAGAGAAGGAGCGAGGTTGGGAGCGAGGAGGGGCGTAAAAGACGAGTCGGACGAGACGGACGAGACGACGAGCGTGGGTAGGTAGACGCACAGGCACGCGGACAAACAGGCGCGAGAGCGAGTGGATGCCGGCGAATAAAGTCGAGAGGAAGGAGGAAGTTGCGCAACGGTCAACCGTCGTTGGAGGCATCGTACCATATCGAGCGTTAAATCCGTTTAAAAGTGGAAGAGAACGCTCGATTCGCGCCGACGCGAGCGGGTATCGATAAGGAGAGGCGTCGATCGCGACCTACGAACTCCGATGTTTATCGCGCGAATCGGCCCTCTCGTTCATTCCCTCCAATTTCGTTCGGCCACGTCGGCTGCCAACGTCGCATAGTTATACCTGTTCGCCGCGCCGGTGAACCTGAAGGGCACGAATAAGAAATCTCCCCCGCTACCTGTTAAAGATGCCGTGCCCAGCGCTTGTTTTCATCCGACGAAACGCATCTTTCCACATATGCTCGCATGCTCCCGTTTCTTACTTAATCGGAATCCACCTTACACATCGTACAAAGAAGAATCCAGCGATAACGGGACAAACCGAAAAAACACGCATAACGAAATACGTAACCGTTACCGATCAAATTTTCAAACGATAAGCTATCCGAAACGAAACATGTAGTCGGTTTCCCGCGCATTTTGGCCACGGAGAGTTTCTCGGAAGCTCGCTCTATCGCGGCTCCGGTCTAAGACCTAAGGTCTAAAATAGCTCGCAAACCGACCAGACGAGAACGGGAGAAAGGACGCGACGGGGTATGTTGTGGGAAGAGAGAGAAATCCGCGTTGCACGTTTTTTCACGGAAATCCTGGAAGGCATCCGAGCCACCGAACTCCCAGTTTCCCTCCAAAACCGGTCAGCTGATGGTATTTGCTCGACCAGCTGAAGGGACGGGACGGCTGTCAAGGGTAGGACGACTCGGCCATTTTTAAATCCCTTCTAGCCGCCGCGCTGCGCCTCACCGCGCCGCGCCGATTTAAAAGACCGTGCCGAGTACTGGCTTTCTGTTACGCGCCTACCTACTCGTCTTCCCTCTTCGTTCTTCGACCCTTGCCTCTCGCTCTCTCGTTTGCCCTTCTTCGCCCTTCCCCGACCAACTCCGTTGCCCCTTCGTCTCCTGCCGAGATTCCCGCGCTTCGTTGCCAAGCCGCGCCAACGCAACGCGTCCCTTTCGCTCCCGATAAGCTTCTCTTTCTTGCTCCGACTTATCTATTCCGTTGTCACGCCGTTCGAATCTTAATTACTTACGTAAATACTCCGCCAGCTACCGATCTGAACACTCTAATTATTTCCTGCTATCGAAATCCTCGAGAATAGACCTGTGTTTCGAACTAATCGGATCACTTCGACAAAAACGGTTAAAAGAAAACACCGTGAAAATGTCGAAGATTCGAACGAGACCCACCGTGTAACGACCGAAGGAAATTCAAAACGGAGACGAAAGAAACGTCGGCTTTCTCTTCCTTCTTTTCTTGGGGATCTTGGTTAAGTAGGTCCATTCACGTGACCGCGGGACACAGGTACCGCGCAAGGTGGCCAACGATTTTCCCACGCGCTACCCCAAAGCCTTCTCGAGCATTCCGATCGACCTCCCCCGCGATCGCGCCTTGCGTTCGTCTCCTTCTTTCGCGATCCACCCCTCCGTCTTACAACCTGTAGCGAAGGAGTCGAAGAGATCCCTTAAGTCTCGAAAAGTCTTAATCGAATGCATTCTCCGACAGTATACCGCGATATCGCGTCAAACGAGAAGCGTAAAGAGAAAGGAAGAAAGAAGAGGAAGCAGAAAAAGAGGAGGAGGAAAAAGCGGCGATCAGCTGAGAAACGTCTCGAGGGAGAGACGGACGGCTCCTCCGAGAAACCGGTTGTGTATCCTAGCGTGGGGTATCTTGGCGGGAAACCTTCTCCGATAGAAGTTTCTCGCTCTTCCTCTTCTGCTCGTCGTTCCTTGCTCCTCTTCCTTACTCCCTCGTCCTGACGCCTTCCCCACCTACCTAACCGACTTTCTTAGAAGGAACGTGAAGCATTTGCATTCACGAGGGAGACCACCGCATAGATTCTCGGGGCTCGTCCCCGCGTATATGCACGTTCGGTGTTGCTTCGATGCGTTTCGTGCGAAGCGTTTTATTTTTCTATCGACGCCGCTAACGATCTTAACCTTAATCGAGAGGACTAAATTACCACGTATAACGGATTCGGACGGCCAAAGGTTGTGCCTAACGCGGCACCTGAACGGCTTTCGATCAACTTCCATTCTCTTAATTATGTGTACTTTGAGAATAACGGTATGTATATCGATAACACGTGTCGATGTTGATTTAAAGCTGTTCTATGCTGTTGAGGACTCTCTTTTTAACAAATCTTAACAAAATGAACTTTCTTTCTAACAAATCGTTAATTACATAGATGTTATTTACGTCAACAGAAACTACATCTGTATATAATATTTTACGGAAACTGTAAAATATGTTAAAATTAAGGATAACGTAAATCAGAAAAGTTAAGACGAACGCGGAGGCGTGTACAGTTAGAGAGAATAAGGCTCTCGAGTTCAAAGGGAACCCGAGACTGTTTTTCTAGATTCTAGAGACGAAAACACAAGCACCGAGGATCGCCTGAAACGGTCCCGACCTAAAGTAGGCGGCGTTATTACTGCTGAGCAGGGATGCGCCGGCCGATGAATTCGGTTGCTCGCGAATCGTTTTGCTTTATTTTTTAACGGTCGTTTCGCGGGAATGGCTAACAGGAAAAAACAAACGCGAGGAGACGCGGCGAGAGAGAACAGGAAAAAACGAAGATTACGTTTACGAGATTAGGTTTGATAGTCGTGCGGTAAAACGTGAGATACAATGTAGTGGCTTTTAGCTCCGGAACTTCGTGTTGGAGAAACTCGACGATAAACACGATTAAATGATCAATTGGGAAAGAATCGATAAGTTTACTTACCCTTTGCGATCGATGTCGGGCGAGTCGCTTCGCGCTGATTCTGAAACGAGAAAAAGTAACAGCAGAGTTTATTACTCTTACCCTTAAAAGTGGGTTGTAACGAATTGTAAAATTTCAGGAACGATATTAGTACGCTATCGTAAACGGTAAAATATATGCGAAGAAAAGCGGGAAGGGTAAGGTGCCTCGTGCGGAAAAGGAAAAGTAAGCGGTGCAAAAATAGGGTCGTTAGAGAACCGGAACACCTTTCTTGCTGTTGCGTTTGCCGTGAAACGCTTCCGCAGGAAATCGACGCAACCTCTGTGACGAACGTTGCTTATAGCCTATCCTTATACTTTCTACCAAGTTATATTCGATCCAAATATCTTTTCGTACTTTTCGATATTGTTACTACCATTTCAAAAAAAGATAGAGACGTTTCGATAAAATTTCCATCGCATAAAAAGTAGTCGACTTTTGCGCTGTAACGAATTTTCCTCTTCCGTAACAGGGAGAAGTTTGCGGATTACGGTTACGGCGGTTACGGATACGGTTACGGAAATATCGCGCTCGAGTATCATTTTTTTCACGACGCAGCTCGTCCGTTGATCGCTCTACGCCTCGATCGTGATTCATTAACGGCGACGACAACGCGTCTAATACGCGACACGCGGCTGCAGTAACGGTAAAAAACGCGGTGGTTAAATATACACATCGGGGGAGAAAACGAGAAAGGGCGAGGGTGGACCGGTAGTTGAACTCGGTCCCTTCGAGATCTATTTTAGACGCGAATATCTGTTCCATAAATATAACGAATGCCAACGGACCAGACGCGACCAAGATAGGGATACGAAAATACCAAGGAACGTATGTACCCGACGTACGTTACGAATCGGATACGCGTTTACAACGAACGGGGAAATCCGTTAGCTGTATCCGAACGACCTTCGAACCGCATCGGATAACCCTGGCGGAAAATAGACGGGAAAAGCGAAAAGCTTAGGACAACGCGCAGTGGCACGAGCCAAACGGAGGGTCGAACACCCCGATTGCTAGGTACCTAGTGTATGGCTAGATACGGGGCACACTCTCGCAGTGTCGTGGTAGATGGTCGACGACACGGTAAGCGTTCGCCTATGACTACGCGATGCCAGGTGGTGACTGTCGGCCCATGTGTGCTCGTATGTCTGCCCCCTGAGCCCTTACCTTCCCCTCTTGGGGTTGCGCGACCCCTTGGAATACCAGAAGCACCAAAGATACCAGAGGCACGTTAGCGCCCCATCGTTTCCGTGCGTTCAACGCTCTAGTAGTCAACTACCTAATTATACTCCCTCCTTTTCCTTCCTTTCCCTTCCGTTGCATTCCCCTTATACTTCGCGTCGCGCCTTCGTGTCACGATTACCCTCGTTTTTGTTCGTTCGACGTTTACTCTTCCTTCGTTACGAATTCTTCCTTAAACGCGAAAAACGGTCTTTGGTCCGTTATCTTTTTCGAAGCGCGAACGGAACCCCCGCAATGATAACCGAAACGAACGTTACTCGTTTTCGAAACACGCTTCTTTCCCTGTTTCCCCAGTAGTCGCTCGTTGAACTCTTTCGTGCAAAAGGGGGAGAAGAAAAAATGCTCAACGGGAGGGTGCGAGTATCGATCGACCAACGAAACCGAGCTAACGGGCGCGTGCCGCCGTTACCAACTGTTGACCGAGTCGTGTCGAGTCGAATCGATCGTTCTTTCGCGCAGACCTCACTGAGCGAAAATTTGTCCGTATGCTCCCCCAAAACTTTATCTCGATATCGGAGATTCCCGGTGTCGGACAAGGACAGCGAAGACAGACGTTGCGTTCGACGCGAAAGGGAACCGAGTCTCGCAAAGTTACGAACCGTGGAACGAAAAGAGCGCTCGCGCGGGACACAGGTGGTGCACGAGCTACCCCACCGTGACCGACGCGACGGACGACCATCGCACCGGTTCAGCCGCGACCACGACCACGATCACTATTCAGCGATATTTTGCCCCTTTTCTTCTACATGTATTTCTTTTCCGCGATCGCTTTTCGAGACAAAAAGTTTATTGTTCAACGCCTGCCTAATGACCATCGATTGTCCTCGCACCGAACGGGGTCGCGAACGCACCAATTCATTGCTAACGACTATTACCCTGCGACATCGTCTCTACGCTGTCGACTATCATTAAAGAGAGTTATTAGAAAACTCGAGGTGATGCAGGTAGCCAACCTCTGACCCACATACCACCCACCCATCCCCTAGCCGTGATCTTTCATAAATCGATTTGGCACAATAGACCCTGCTCTGCCTTTTATGCTACACGGTCAATGCTTTTACACCCTTTATGGTATTTTCTTCGCCATACTTAGAACTATTAATAATAAGAAAAATATATCTCCAGACGCATATGTCACCATTCGCGGTAACGGCCACGCAACGGTGCGTAATAAATGATAAAGAGCAAAACGCGATTAAACGAAGCTCACAGTTGCTTTGACCGGGTCGCGCAGCTGTTAACTTAAATAAATTCAACGATGCGACGCACCGAGCTCCGCTCTTTTCAGCGTGTGTATTTTGTAGGACCACGTGCCGCGCGCGATAAACGCATACCTGTCTCGTGTTTCTATAAACTCTGAACGTGCTGAAAATTTTCTCGTCATTGCGACAGCGTTGCCGTTAACAAAGTAGCTCGGAACCGGAGTGAAAACCTATCCAACTGGTTCGATAGTCGATCAAGGGTTGGTACTTTCTTTTCCCTGATTTCTCGATTACTAGTAGCAGGTTATTTCCTATTCTTTGCTCTCTTTTTTCATTTGCGATGTTCTCGATTCGCTTTATCGTGCAAGCGTTGCTATCCGTCTAAACGTTAGAGGAGCAAAGCTCAGCGAGAAAATTGGACCGACATCGAGCGCCAAACGAATTACAAAGAGTATCGAGCGATCACGATTCAAGAACGGGGGAAAAAATTGATTAGTAATTCGGTTTGGAACCGTTAAAGGTTACCGAACGGAACGACTCGTCGTCTTTGAGGATCAGGTTGCGAGACCTGCCTTACCGGCCTTACGGGAAATGCTAATACACCGAAAGACCGGGACCACCGGGACCTACAAGACCCGAAGACCCCAAACGCATCAAAGACCTTGTGAAACCCTTTTATCGTCTCCTCGTTATTTTCTTCGTTCTTTCCCTTCGTTGGTCGTTTCCTTTCGAGCCGCTGCGCTGTACACGCACTTACACGGCTCGTGCCGTCTCGCCTCGCCCCGTCGAAACTCTTTCAGCCATTTAAATTTTAAATTTTCTTCGATCGAAAACCATCGAGACCGACGGACGCACCGTGTCGAGCACCTTTAATCCTTTCGCATTCTTCTTACGCGTCCCTCCTCTTCCCCCTCCCTCTTTTTCCTTCTTTCTTTCTTTCTCTTTAACCGTGTGTATTTTTTGTTCCCTTTTTTCCCGTCTTTTTTTCTACACGAATAACACGTTAATACGTAAAACGCGAACGGCTGATGGTTCGTATTGAGAACGTGAGGGAACCAATTCGAACGGGCGCGGGATTTGTAACTCGCTAAATTATGTATTCGATGACGTTTGATCCGTTTGCATATTATTCCGACATTCAGCTTACCTAGATTTCGTTTAACTTCGTTTGTTCGTTTCAACGAACTCGCAGAAAGCAACGTCGACTTCATTAGTCCCTGAGCGATTTCGGATACAGGCGATACGAGCACCGACATTTCCTCTTCTGACCGTTTCGATGAATTTTCATTCGACTTTGCGATGCGCGATAACGCCGCCGCTTTTTCTACACCGAACATCCTAATCTTTCCTGGCTCGTTGGCCGTTATTATTTTATTATCAACGATCAGTCTACCTGTAGATTCGAAGTGCTTCGATCCGAACGTTGTGCAGGCATAAAGTTAAATAATTCTGCTGTTTATTTTCTTCGTTATGATGTCTACTGTAGATGATCGAATAAACAGACGTGAAAAATCTTAAATGTGAGCAAACGTGTTTTATTCAGGCGTTCTTACGTTCATAGGATGAAAGGATAGGAGGATGAGAACACGGTATGGAACAGAATCTTCAACGGTGACGTCGATAACAGCGGCAGCAGCAGTGACAACAGCAACAAGCTTGTAACAAGTTTATTGCTCCCTCGAATAATTGTAAGAATCCATACATTGCCTTTTTGACCTGCAATTACGTTTAAATGTCAGTTAAACTGTACTGTCGATCTTACAGCGCCAAACGGAATTGTTACATGTCGACAAAAACTAAATGATAAACACGAGTAATATGTCGAATTAACTTCATCCGTAATGAAAAGTGTAGCGCAAGAAAAAAACGATGTCTGGAATGTGAACACGCGGTACGGTCGTTTCAAAGTGTACGTGTACTTTACTCTAACGATGTTTTCAAATACCGACATAGAAAAGACAGACAAGATGAAAATCTGTTTTTCATTTTTGTTTATACCATGAAATCCATTTTACAAACATATGGTGAATTATCCACGATTAATACTAATGCCGCAATTACTGAATCGATATGAATACGAGGTTACTTACATCCAAATATAAGTAACCTTACAAGTTTCAAGCATGAATAAAACGTACGAAAAGGAATAACGTATCACGACCGGTAACTTAATCAGGGGGTTAGGTAATTCAATTATTGACATTTTATCAAAACCGAATAACACAGAAGGAAAGGCAATTCATTCTCCATATTTGGTGTAATTATTGACGTTTCTTTATTCCTTGCCTCGCAAGAAAGATGAACGAATCGAAAAAATACGTAGCTTACCTTTTTTCCCGAAAATGTGTTTTGACGAAAGTAATTATCTAATTGTAATCTCAATTAAGTTCTCGCTTAATAACCTTGTCAATTATAACTTATCAAGGTAACGAGATATTAAGTAAAACGTAACGGCCGAAATTCCACAGTAATTAGCAAGTTGACACTCCTGTCAAACTAATAGCCCGCGTGAAATACTCTTTTATTTCCGGTAGCGCCATCTACCATGAATATATGAAACAGGAAGACACTTAAAATTATGCCACCGTACAGGTGGTAAGTACCATATATTTTTAATAAAATAAATAAAAGGAACATACGTGTAAAACAAAGTTTATATAATTTATTTATTGCGCATAAAATTTCAAATATCTCTTTCATCGTTTACCCATAACAACGCTCGTCTATTATAAATTACAATAAAATATACGTCCTGTACAACCAGGAACAGCTAATAGTTTTCCTATAAAAAGATCATAAATATTCGTCGTCTACAATAATTGTATAAATCTTGATTAACGGTACGTTGTATATAATTGAAAAAGCTAAGGCACCTGAAGATAGTTTCGGATTCTTGCGCCCTTACCGGTTGTTACGATATAAAATCGTATTCTAAATCCGTGATAGGCGGACACCGAATAAATAATACTAGAAGCTCGTTTCGCGCGTGATCGTTGTACACGATACTCGGACAAATGTGCGTTCGCGGAAACTGGAAAACATTTACGTTTCTATCCTGCTGTGCGTTGAGTAGACGAAAGTAGTTGTAACGCGTTCGACTTTGTTAAAAAATATTTTTCCGACTGGACTCGGTTGGACTTAAAGGAACCGCGGTGCGATTAGACTTTGGTAAAGATTTCGAGGACACGATATAACCAGGTTTCGTTGCGCTCGTTACAAGATTTTTCGGTTTTGGCGGAAGTGGAGGAGGCTTCGATGATTTCACCGGCGACGTGGCTTCGGTATCGGAAGAATCCAATCCAGCGCCCATTCGACGACACGATCCGTTCTCCACGATGGTCCGATCTCCGTCCGTTAAAGTTGCATCCAACACGAACGAATTCTCCGAAGACTTGCTTTCACGCTCCTTTCCCGTCACCGATACATAGAATCGTGCATCGGCAGCTCCGTTCTTCGACGATACGACCGTATTCTGATCCTTTCCGCAACAGTTTTCTCGTTCGTACATCGAACCGTAAAATTTGGAGTTTGCTTCGCAATTTGCTGACGCTATCCTACCTCTTCGTACCTTATCGCGATCCGTCGGCTTACCACCATTTTCCTTGTTCTGATCAGTAATTTCATAGCTTTAAGGTCGAAATGCATCATGATAACAGTTTCAAAGATAAAATGTATTTAAAAAACGATACGATAGCCGTGCGCGTTACGAGATATCACGTTTTCGGAAAAACACGCGTTAGTATGCCTCGGAGGATGCGAGTTTCCGTTTACCTTTAAAAAGTCTGGCAGCTCAAAATTGATCTCCGTTCCTCTCTGGTCTTCCAATCGAGACCTTTGTGCTCGTTTCAAACCTTCGTACAGATCTATCGGAGCAGGACAAGAATAAATTAATGAAACGATGACAATTCTTTAGTTACGACAACCACACTTTTCTTACCTTCGCCATCAAATTTTCCGGGTAACTGTAACTTCACCCCGTTCCGCCACTTTGCTATCAAAGGTGGATGAGGCTTGCTAGTTTCTTCGGAAATGTAGTCGCTCGTACTGCCCTTCTCGCTGGTGTTGTTACATTTGGACTTTCCCTTTGACGTGACCCCGATACGACAACACACAGCGAACGCGTTCAAAGAAATCGAAGAAAGTCAATTATTATAATAAAACCGCATACGCCAACGAAAATAAAAGCGTTTCATACCTTCTTCTTTCCATGCATCGTAGAATCTCGTAGAAAGAATTTGCTAGGTAAAATGGATGAACCTTCGGAACGTTGATCGTCGGACTGCGGGAAAAGAACATGAACAACTTAACGATGAAATATATAAACTCGAATGTAGTCCATTGATCAATTACTCGAATGTATCCTTCTTTTTATTACCTTGCACGACGAGCCTTCATTGTACCGATGTTTGCCAGAACCTTTGCCCACTAACAACTCTTCGAATACCTTGTTGGTAATTTCATCCAAGGTAGGTTGAGTGTACGGCGTATCGTTCGTTGAACGGACGGTACGTGGCTCTTTCCGAGGATCTACAAATGTTCTTCCTTTCAATATCCTAGCTCAACGTGATGATGAAACGATTATTCGTTTCTCATTGTATAATTCTATTCGATTACCAAACCATTCTTTACCTTCGTCTTTTGTGTTGGTCAAAATTAGCCTAGCCGGAGCATCGACGGCTAGTATATCCGGACAAACGGAACGATTGTCGCTCCACACCGTGATCGTATCTAAATTGAAACCATACTTGTTCAAAAGAGGTCTCAGTACTTCCTTCAGAGTTCTGCCTTTGTGCGCGACCACGGTTATCACTCGCCGTGAAGGTAACTCTACTTTTAATACTTTCGTGGGAACAACTTCCACTTCCTGGCCAGCCAATACCGACGATGGATATTTCGTCTCTATCGTCTGAAGGTACAAAATGTACGATTAGTAAAATCATTAAGAATGAAGGAATTACGGTGATGAACATTTCATTCCGTGCACGACGAGGTGTTTATCGATGAATAGCTACGTGTACAACTACCAAAGCTTTATTATTACAATAATAATGCATGCATGCGTGAAGATGTTGGCTTGAGAATAGAATCTCGCGATGATACCTTAGATCACGTGTTCAACGACATTCCTCGTTCCTCGAATTCGTACTAGTTGTTCCGAGTACGACAAGGAACGATGGTTGCCCGTCGAAGTAAGCAAGTGCAAAGTCGAGAGCAAGAAGTAGCAGAAACTTGTCCGGACGAAGGAAACTGATGATGTGTAACGTACGAGAAACGAGACGATCGTACGTATGGACAGGTTGTACGAGTATAGTGAGATCCACGTTAACGAATTATCGCGTTGTTAGTTTGAAATATAATGATCGCGCGAAAGGTACGTGAAATAAATACGAGATAGAACACAAACCTCGTCCGTGGCTAGGATTAGAACGTCATAGTTAGAGTATCGGAGAGCTCTTTTATCTAGAAGTCGTGTAACCACATCTTTAATACTCTCCGTTTGGCTAGTTGGCACAACCGTAGTCGATCCATCGGGCAATATTACCCGACACAACCCGGTACATTTGGCGCGAACTTCTCTAGTTTCGTTCGACTGTCCTTCATAGGACGATAAAGACTACAAGTTATACATACAACAACTTTGTAGATTCAGAGTCAAATCCGAATTTAATCAAGCATTATATGTACTACGTATATTCTTCTCGACGACGCTTCGACAATTAACATTCGTTCGCGCTAAATTAAAGATTCTATCGCGGTTCTAACTACAAAATAAAACTAGTATACGTCGTAATACACAAATTGATTCTGATCCCAATTACTTGGTCTCCTATTACAACGCGTAACACGTAAATCGAAACCATACTCACGTGTTTGTGAAACGATTGTCTCAACGCCAAATCCCATGAGGCCAATGAAGATCTGCTACTAGATATAGAAATACTGTCGTCATTGTTATTACCTTCTGCTTCTCTTTTCATCGTAGTGAAACTCTTGTATATGGTTTCGTTTCTGCTCGGAGTTTTATTGTATTCGGTTTCTCCACGGTCTTTTGACTTGGACCTATAAACATATTGTCAGTTTACATCCCTCTTATATATAATATATATAATATACTTATATATATCTTTATATTTATACTTATATATAAATATATTTATATTTATACTTATATATATCTTATATATAATATACACTAAATATTTCTCCACCTGTTTTTCCTATTCCAAGGGAGAATAGATTTTCTACATCGATCTTCTGCATCCGAATGACTCTTCTTTAATTTTACACTAGGGGAACTGGTAAGATTTAAATCACAATCGTCCGTTCCTATCACGGAACTTCCTGTTTCTACGCAACGACGGTACAAATCCGATCTTAAAAATCTTGGATAGCTATCGAATTTCATCAAATTGAAGACCTGCTTCTGTGCCTGTAATTAAAAAAGAAATGATCGTGATATCGATGATAATAGTGGCATCAAGAAATTAAAAAATATTTTCACCTGTAGAAAAAGATCCGACGGTGCTTCACAAAGAAGATCCTGAGTTATTTGGCCAGTGGCGTGGCTATCAACGTTTACGGGTTCAGCCGCTGTGCTGGACAAGTGACGTTGGTAAATTTGATTAGCCAACTTACGTCGAGTGACGATGTCTTTCGTGTCTTTATATCTCTCGCAAGCGGCCCAAAAATAAATGTTTTCATGGCTGAACTCTTTCTTTAAGAACTCCTTAAAAAGGAAAAATAAGAGTAATCAAATGCATTTCACATATTTCTCGCTACATATACGTATACTCGCGTCGAAAGTAAAGTATTCTTACCGCAAATGTTTGTAATCCCTTTGGATCTTCCAATAATTTTTCAAACCCATTGGCCCATGCATGTATAGTTTTGCAATCGGTGTTTTTATCGCACAATTCCGTACTACCGTGCTGCATCAAAGACGTGTTAAAAAATTATATATATACGTTATTAATCAGGTCGTTAACTAGGATTAAACGAAACATGGGGGACGCGATCGAGCGCGTCTTCTCTATCGTACCAATGCGTATGTACAATATAAGAATTGTTAAAATCGAATCGAAAAATTTAACAGTACGCGATACCTATGATTTTTTTCTCTTAAAAAATTACGTTAAGAAAAAATATTTGAAGGATTCAGAGATTATTTAGTCCGTAAAGAACGAGCAAAAGAAACGAGAACGAAACACCCATCTTCAATTACATATTCCCACCGTTTACGCTCAACCGGAACGTCCCATGTATATACGCGCGTAATTTTATATATTAAAGTACCTACGGAAATTAACGATAACAAATTCTCATACTTTATAATGAATCGTGTTTACCTATGCTTTTTTGAAGCCTTTGAAAAATAAATATACAATCGTACAATGTATCTTGGCATTGTTTATATACTTAGATTGAATAATTATGTTCTATTACCGCAAATAACTGATAAAAGCGAATAATCGTGTTTCAGGAATCGAAACGATATCAAGATATATACATATACATGCGTATATCGGTACACCGTCTCGTATCATATCAACACGTATTCGGTATCAATTCGATCTCAATTGCACATCATTGATCATCGATTCACTGATTTAACTTTCCATGTTTGTCTATAAAGTATCGATCGATTTACTTGGAACAGGTGATTCGAGGAACTTGAAACGTATCAAACAATCGTGAAACTAGGTTTACGCAATTGAATAGAACATCGACTATCTCATGCTACACACAACACGTACCGATTTCACCACGGTGTCCATGTCGTGGTCGAGAATCGTGTTTCTTCGTGCAGCCGCGCCACGATCCCATTTACCAAGGGAAAAATAAAAATATATCGAACGAAAATAATGTAGATTTCCGGACGATTTTCTTCGAATCGATCATAAAAACAACGTTACTCTACGCTCGTAACAATAAGGACTACGCCCAACTGCAACGATGCACCGTTGACAATTACAATTCCCCGCACGGTTTCTCTTCAACTCGATATGGTCAGCCGAACACGATGCGCACCGACACAACCGACACGATCGACCGATAAATAGTTTACGATCGAACCGACACTTTGCATTACGTCCCATTAATCGATTCTTTCAAAGAACGAATTAAACTACTGTTCTACTTCGAGCAACACTATCCTAACTGTTACGATCAACGTCACATTCGTTTCGTGCCTAACATGTCACTCTCGCGTGCACACCGTTACCAGCATATACATGTTCGCTTGTGCTCCGTTTCCTTTCTTCTCTCTTTCCTTCTCCTACTCCGTTTACTCCGTCGGTCGATGTTACCGACACTCGGTCTTGTTTCTTCATACCGAACTTTTTCACTCGTTCATCAGATTTTACCTTTAAATTTTTCTTTTCCCATCCTAGCAACCAAACTCATCTTCTTTCCCCCCTCTTCATGCCACCCTCAGCTCAACCCCCTCTCCCACTTCCTGGGCCCAACTTTTCTCACACTCTCCCTCCCTTCCTCGCTCATTGTAATTTTTATTCCCAAGCATTATACTTCCTGTTCTTTTAATTCATTTACTTCTCCTCGTTCAGGTTAATAGAAAACGCATGCGAGCATTAAAACTTCTACATTAATCTCTCTTTTAAGCACATATTAATTTTTTTTTTTATTTAATAGGCACTTTGTCGTACGATACTATGAATTAATAAGTCGTACGAAAAGTAATTGCGTTATTAGAACGAAGTAAAATAAAGCAAAATAAACCTTACCAAACAGGTGTCTTGCACGTAAGTTCCAATGTTCCGGATTTCCTGTAAGCTTCCCCAAGGACGAGAATTATCCGATTTGTCTGAGTACGTTTGACAAAGTGGTCGAGCGTAATCCATATTCGTGTTAAGATCTTCGAAACTATGCACTAAAGATTTGGAAATGCCCGAAAAAACTTTTGGACTAAACTTGTCTCGAGTATCGATTTCTGCAGATTCCGTTACTCCCACTGAATCTAACGATCGTTTAGGTCTGACGATAGAATCGTCCGATGTTTCAACTGAGTCTTCTATACCGTGCAGCATCGCGGTAGTGCAAACGGACGCGAGAGAACCAACGGACGAACTAACCAACCCCTGCTTAACCGTAGCAGCAGATGGCAATGGACAGGTGGGCAAATCCCCCCTCTTCGTTCCTTTTTGTATACCGGAATTCATCTCGTGATCCTCCATCATTTCTGTACATGCACTCGTTCCATTGCAAAAATCATTAAAGACAACGCTCTCACGAGATAATTCTGTGTTACTTCTACATGTATCCAGCTTATTTGTTTCATTCCAACATGCGTTTATCCGATTTACTTGTTTCGATATAGCTCGAACCGTCAATTTTAAATCGGTAATTTCGTTACCGTACCTTCTCGACGAATATTCGTGTGCATCCTGAAAAGGTATACGAACTTTGCTTTTAACCAGTATATTATGTGAGCAAAACGCTCTTTAATTTTTTTCTACTTTATAACAAAAACTTAATGATGTTCGTATTAACTATAGGAATGGAAACTTTTTCTTTCCTTTTTTTTCACTTTTCTTGTTTTCTTTCAAACATAAATGTAAGGCGAAGACGTTAAAAAACTTTAAATGCAAAAATAATTACAAAAACAGATCATAATAGACATACTCTGTATTCTGAATTAAGGCAGCATCTTCTTTGAGATACGTTTTGTACGATATTTCTATCCGAACGGCTTGCACAATCGTCTTTATAGCCGATTCCAGAATCACTGTTACTCGAATGGGCCGTGGAGGTGCTTATATTACTTGGCTGTGGAGAAGCAGTTTCTTGATGTCTTCTCGTTTCATTATACGAATTTGTATCGGTGGCTGTTGAATCTGATATGTACAAAGTCTGGATGGCACCAATCAGACCGTTACAACTATCCGGAAATTCTTGACATACGTTTAATTCCGAAGTTTTAGTGCACGTAAATCCGAATATATTACAAGCGCTAGAATGTACTGTATGATCTATCAACTTATAGTAAATTGTAAAAACATGGCAGGAATTTGAAACAATGTTTTCTTTATCCCTAACAGACTTAGTCAATATACCAAAATATTGTTTGTCTTGTTCAGAAAATGAATTGCAAAATATTATCCTGTATGATGGATATTCTGCTATAACACGATTCTCTGAATTAGTGAGCTTTATGTTTGCCACATGTATAGTTAAAAGCACCGTAGTTGGATTTCTTTTTTCTGCCTTTAGTCGTTTGATGCATTTCCTCAAAACCTGCCAAAATAAACAGAATTGATAAAACATTAATAAACTACGTATGTATATAATTTAAAAACAGTTTATGATCTTAGATTGTGTTTTACCTGCATCATACTGGATGGATGCAATTGATTTGGAATGTCAATAGTTCCAAGATATCCAACAACTGTTCTGTGCACTATTTTCTCCGAATCCCTTTTGTGGGAAGCTGGTGGTGGAGGTGGTGGAAGAGGATTAGACATATCCCAATGATAATGTAGATCATGATACGTTTCTTGATTTTGTAATTCTGATAATGTTTTTCCTGTCGCATCAAACATGGCACCACTTTGTAAATCTCTTACAACTTTAGCGACTCTACATTGTAATTGCAATGCTCCCATATTACTTGCACGTGGTTTATGAATGTATTTAGGTTTGCAACGTACTGTTGTTACTCCTTCTTCATCCGAAGAATCAGAATAATAGTTTTCTGCTATTTGTAATCTTAAAATACCTTTAGAACGCCCAATTAATTGTACAACATCGTCATGGGGCAGTTTACTGACATTATGGCCATTCACCGACACTAAATAATCACCAGCTCGTAATCCAGCAATTTCTGCTGGACTTCCAGGAACAATGCAACTCAGTATACAAGGTTGCTGCCCCGAAATCGTGAAACCAAATCCTTTCGTTCCTCGTAATACCTCCACTGTCCTTACACCATAATTCACTCTCTTTTTCTTTCTTCTGTTTTGATGCATTCTTATATTCTCTTCTCATAAATTCTTGTCAAGATTCCGATAGATTCATCCAATTTATTAATCAGATAATCATTGAATTTGTATTTTCGCGAGATTGAAATCCTCTCGAATCATTCTTTCTGACACTATCAACTTTTATTTAACCCTTTACACTTTCTTTAAAAATATTCAAGTATTTAAAAGTAAAACGACGCTTTTATTCCGCTTACTGATCTATATCGATCGTGTACGCGTACTTTAATTTTTCTCAAAAATTGGCTACCGATCGTTTACGATCCAAATCATGACGGCGTTCTTCCTACATACATACATACACGTTTTTGTACCTTTTTCTCTTACACTATATTATTATCACCAAATCTCCGGACATAACTCTGCAACATTTTTCTACCTTCCTATATTTTTCGAAGTATAAATCTTTTTTGACGAATTAATTCACGTATCTAAATAAAAGGTACCGAAACTGCTATAAATGTTTTGCTGCTTCCATTATTCTTTTTATTCTATTTCTATGTATGTTCTATCCTTTCACTCCCTCCACTTTTCTTTCATTTACATCATTGTTTGTTGGTATGTATACCTATGCCCAATGATTTATCCACTTCCGGAATGTAAATACACATTTTGGTGGAAATTCTACGACAATTAATATATCCTTCTTGTATCCAATATTGTTTCCATGGAATGAAAAATAACATCATTATTATTACAATGTCTTGTTACATGTCTATTGGAATAGCAATTGAATTTCGCGTAATTTTCTCTTCTATCAGAAGAAAAAGTACATTTCTTCTCTAATTTTATGTTTTTGATGGAAATAAGATAAATTTATATAAATATACTGTACAACTTTTCGGAGTATTTTATGGACTCGATCCTTTATTATATTTTAAATTCATTGTATTTATTAATATACGATTTTAAATAGAATGCGTAAAATTATAAGTGGAACAAATATTAATATCAAATTTGTCATCAAATTTCATCAGTATTGTTAATATTAAAATAAATTTTATTCGGTTTTTAAAACATTTGTTCACCACGGTACTGAATTGCCCACGGTATATTCCAGTTTGAATACGGTGAAAGACATAACTTCTACCACCGTGAGTTTAAAATATATTTTTCTTCTTTGAATTAAATACTATATTATAGTTATTGCAAACGACGAATTAACAAATTCTATATTTGCTTAAAAAGAAATAAATAATATAATAATAAATAAATATTTATATGTGTGGATCATTGTGTTTGTAAGGGTGAGTCCCCAGCACGGTTCTGATCGAGACTCACCCTAAGTACGCGTGCACCAAAATATGGATGAATTCGTTGTTTTTTTACTGTATTGAATTTCTTTAATAACATTTGTGTAAATTCCAAGTAATAAATGTATTCAGTTCTGTAATATTTCTTCGTTCTAAGTAATGATATACTGCTGGTGTTAAATACTTCGTAAAAAGATTTCATCGAATGTGCCGAAAAAGTTGATCAGTGGATTTTGTATCATTTGAAATACATGCAAAATTATTTTCTATTTACATGGAATCTAAAACAGTAGGTTGGAAAATAGTACCAAATACAGTTACAAACAGGATGATAGATTTTTCTCTGGTACATAAATTAATACCATCTAGACGACTTCGTCGTAGATGTAAGGTTATGAATACAATAATGAAACGACGCTCGTGTTTGAAAACCTACAGCGAGTATGTTAAAATTAAAACTACTGTTCTTCGGAATGTGTCAGATGACGAAGAAACAGATATGAGTGACAATTTTACTGAAAATGATTATAGCGTTTTTTATAAATCTGATTTATCTTTTACAAATTATAAATCAATAATATCTAACCAAGATGACAATTATTCTTCTGAAGAAGAATTTTCATTTGACGAAAATTACACTGATTATCGTGAAATAAACGAAAAGCGGAAAAACAGAAGTAAAAAGAATGTCGAAAGTGGAGAAGATCAATGTCTTAAAACTACAAAATTAGGTTGGCAAGATGTTAAGAATAAAAGTAGAAGCAGCTTAAATACCACGAAAGACAGTAATACTTCACATCCAAGCTTAATTGAATCTAAAAGAACAAGTGATCACGCAGATATTGAGAATAATGTACAAATGAAAAATATTAACAAAGACTCTTTAACTTCTTTGAAAGAAAGTTCTTTGACTCAAGATAGTGAGATATTACAAAATAACGAACCATGTGCCATAGAAAAAGTTTCACAGTCAAACGCTGAAGTAACAAATTCAAATGAAATAAAGCAAGATATTACTAAATTACCAGAAATTACAGACAACGATGAGAAACCAGTGGAAAAAGTAAATCATGTAATAAATAATGTCAATGAAGGATTTCTGTCAAATGAAAATCATCCTGAAATACTTAATAGTTCTGACATGCAAACAAAAGAAAGTATTAAAATTAATTTAACACCTGTATTAGATGATGCCCATGAGATAAAGAATATCAATGATTCCGTTGCAAATAAAAAGGTATTTCTGGATGAAAGTCATTCTAGTTCATCAGAGAGAAATCCAAGTGAACCTGAAATACCTATGGCTACATATAAAAATAATAATAAGGTTTTGAAAATTCAAGGTTCAGTTCTTGGCAGTACAAATCAACCAAAAGATTCAGGGATTGAAGAAGACACTGAAGAGGAGATTTTGGATAATAAGTATAAGAAGCATAAAAAAGAAAGAAAGAAAATTCAGAAAACTGAACAAGATACACAATCTACACCTTCAATTTCTAATCAAGAAGACAATCCTGTTACACAAACAGATTTACCAATTATTAATGATCATCTGTTAGTTGAAGATCATAATATATTGAGTAACACAGATCATAAAAATACAACAGTGGCACTTGATGACAATATAATTAATAGTAGCAAAAATCAAGAAAAAACACCGAAACAGAAACCACAGCCTACAGTTACTTGTACAGAAATTATGAACAGAAAATATAAAATAATATCGTGCGATACAGCTTTATTGAATAACTCTCCAAATTCAGAATTAAGTTTAAGTGATTTTCATAGAAGAAAAGGATTTGAAATAGAGGAACCAGAACAAAATATAGAAGATAGTATTTCACCTTTGACGAAAAAACGCTTGCAGCAATTAAGAAGATTAAATTTAACTATAGAAAGTGAATCTGGACTTAGTGAAGATGATAATACTTCTTGGAATACCAAAAATATGAGGGATAATTTACTTAGGCGTTCTAGAGAATCTCCTGATATGTCAGACAGTGAAGATAAAAATGTAAAATCTAAGCTACCAATACTAATTCAATCTGATAAGAAACTGCAGAAGAATGAAAATTCTAGAGGAGAAGATTATAAAAAAGGAAGTACTTTGCAATCAATTAACAAAAGTGAAAAACATATGAAGCATAAAAAAAAAAAGAAAAGTAAAAAGAGCAAAAATAATGAGTATGTAGACTCATTAGGGTTTACAGAATTTAATAAGTGCAATAGTGATAAATGCATAACTGATTGTACTATTAAAAGTGAAACAGATTTGAATTCAGTAGAAACATATTGTCAAGATGGTTATCCAGATGAAAGCACTTCAGAGCAAAATTCATCTATTAATGATAGTTCATTTCATTACAATAGAATGGAAGAAGAATTCAATGATGAAAATCAATTGGTTGGAAATATGAAAAAAGTCTTAAATGAGAAGAAAACAATAATGCACGATAGACCATGCAATGTACATACAAAAATTTTATTTAAAATTTATACATATATGTCATCATGCATTCCTTAACCTTTTTTGTGTTTTCTTTCTAGTTGCAGGAATTGATAAATAAGGACAACTTGATTCATCGACCAGTAAAACCCTCTTTCACATTTAAAGATATATATGAGGATGACATCTATATTTTAGACATTCCAGCTACGGTATGTTATATATAAAATATTACATTAATATAATGAAACCCTAAAAAAACATAATGTTGTATTTTATTACATATAGGCATTTGACAATCAGTTACTAGGGAAGAAAATAATTTTAACAGAAAAAAAATTAAAACTTGGAAAGCAGAAATATAAGGTTGAATTTAAAGATGTAGGCAGTATTTCTTGCGTTTTTGGCAAGAAAAGTCCTAACAAACTATATAAAACAGGTATAAAATAAACAAATTATTAACAATTTTTTTAAATATATGCTATACAATTGTTGATCTGTATTTCAGTTCATATTTTAATCTAATAATTTTATTTTTGATCCAGTTAACATTAAACCAACAGCGAGAATAATAGCGCGCCAGAAAATAATTAGGACACCTCTTCTGAAAACTAAAAATCAGTATCTCGATGAAAGTAATTGTACCGAAGATGATAGCCAGATCGAAGAAAACGAAACTTCAACAAGTAGACATATTGAAATGAAGAACGAAATACCGTTTAAGAAAAGACGGTACAATTTCGTATAATAAGCGAAATATAAATATTGTACAAAGCAGTAGGAATAAAATGAACAGACTATCGTGTCAGTAACTATTTCATAGCGTGCCCATACCGACATTCGTGAACCGTGTAAAAGGCAATGTGTTAAAAGACGTGTTCACGAATTATTTACGAGTAAAAATGCAATTTGATTTTAATATAATCTTCATGTAACTATCGCGCATCTTTAGAAAATATTTTATGTTGATTTGTACATTTTACTTATAAAACAAAAATAATTTTATGTATACATTTTGTAAAATATTTTTTTATTGATCTTGTGCATATATACGATTTTTTTGACGAACAATATTGGAAAATTATTTGTGAAAATGATATTTTAGTTAGTAAAGTAATGTAAAAGTATTCTTTCAATATATTTTCTTATCATATCTTTCATTTACAGTTTATAAAAAAAATCAACAATGTGTCATAAGCACATGATCACTATCGACTATTGCCGATTGTTACCGACTGACTCCAAACGGAAGTAACATAACCAAATGTACAATGCATACACACATATATATACACCTGTATATACACTAAAATCGTGTCGATCTGTTTGACTCATACTTGATACTGTATAGTGATATAAACATATGTTTAAATAAACCTGATTGTAAATTTTAAATCACTAATAAGCATTGAATTATTGTTGAAATTGAGTTGTATTCGTATCCTTTTTAAACAATATTGCCCTATAATACTGACCTATAGTGCTTTAATTCACCGCAATAATACTGTAAAATATTTAGAAAAGTAATCAATATTTTAGTAATGGTTGTCGCTGTTGTTTAATACTTATCCCATACGTTGTATACTTGTGACGCGTAAAGGTTAAAAAAGTTATTCGGTAACAACCATCAATAGAAAAAAATGGCTTTGGAATCTGTGAAATTGATTGATGAAGACGTAGAAAGTGGTGGAAAGGAACAGGATATAGATGGAATTGAAAATAATTTTACTTACAACAACAATGTTCATAACGCCGCTATTGAGATACGACTAGGTAACTTGATTTAGAATAAACGCAATTAATTTACAGTAAAGCACAGCTAAAATAATTTTGTTTTCTTAAGGATGGTTGTTTTTTTCTTAATTTTTGTATTTCTTTTATTATTATTATAGGTTTCCTTCGAAAGGTATATGGTTTATTAAGTGTCCAACTTTTGATAACGGTATTAGTAGCTACAGTATTTATGGTATTTCAACCATTAAAACTCTTTATTCAAGAAAAGTAAGCATTTTATGATATAATCCTACATCAATATAAGAAAATTATTGAAAACATTTATTGTATGATTTTAGTCCATGGACACTGCTGTTATCGTTTATGATGACTATAGGTACTTTATGTGCGCTGTACGTAAAAAGAAAAGATCATCCAGCTAATTTAGTGCTGTTGACATTATTCGTAAGTATTGGAGGCATTCTTCTGTAGTATTTACATTTTAAATAGACAATTTATAATTTTGTTCATTTACATGAACAATTCATATGTCATACAGACATTGACGAAGGCCTACACTATTGCTATAATAGTGTCAATGTATGATATAGTTACGGTTCTGGAAGCTTTGTTCATAACATTGACAGTCATGATAGGATTAACTGTCTATACGTTTCAAAGCAAACGAGATTTGTCCATCTCAAGTTCTGGGTATGTTTTCCTTACCACATTTTTCTGATGCATGGTACTATTTTTATAAGTTTTGAAAAATACTACATTTTTATGCATTTACAGATTATTTATTGGTCTTTGGATTTTACTGCTCGGTGGTTTGATGCAAATATTTCTGCAGAGCACTTTAATAGAATTGATGTTAAGCATTGGTGGAGCAGCATTGATGTCTATGTTCGTAATTTTCGACACTCGTCTAATAATGCATACACTATCCCCAGAAGAATATATTTTGGCCACTATTAATCTTTATCTTGATATAATTAATTTATTTTTATATATTTTGAGAATTTTCGCAGTTTCAAAGCAATAGAGTTTAATTGTATATGTATATCTTTAGCCCGTTAAATATGACTTTACTTTTTCAAATAAAAGGTTCTTATAAAAATTTGAAGCTACCTTAAAAAAAAAATATAGAATACCTTTTGATGTCACGGATGTTCTGGCAATAAATTATTTTATAAGTATTATAAATGGACAAATTCCAATGTTAATGTTTTTATTGAAATTTATAAACGAAATATAACTTAAGTTTACGAGGTTTCCATTGCTGCAGTTGAATCCTCTGTATATTTTCCTTTGTCCTGACCTTTTGCTGCGAGCCTGCCTTTACTCCTTCTATCTATGATCTTCTTGCGATCTTTATCCATTTTCAATTTTACAATAACTGTCTATAAAAATCAGGAGAAATCATGGATTTTAGCATGATAGATATTTACTATCAAAAAAATGATACATCATAAATATAAATCAGTGCCAAACTTTCTGCAGTAAAAAGACTAAGCGGAACAAATTCACCAACTCGCAAGAGAACCTTGCGAATCAATGTCATTGTTACACTATCGGTCTAACTCTATGTGAATGGTTTAGTTCATCATTTGTAAAAGTTATGTGATCACTTTTGTACAAGGAATAAAATTAACTCAATTACCTTAGATGGGTCAATACCAACATATACATTAGCGCTATTAGCCTTTTCTCGCTGAATTCTTTCTATGTATATGACAAACTTTTTCCTGTACACTTGAACAACCTTACCCACTTGTTGTCCTTTATAGTGACCACGTACAACCTGTTGTAAAAATAATTGGAATGAGCTTTCATGCTATTTGAACTGAATATCAATAGCCGAACTCTTCACAGAATTATTCAATACATTTGAGCTATGTTACCTGAACTTCATCGTCTTTACGAATAGGCATAGTGCGAACATTATATTTCTGTCGAAGTTCTTTCGAAAGAGGAGCTGACATAAGCCTTCTACGAATATGAGACGGTGCTGTGAAGTGCCTCTTTCGGTTTTTTCTACGCGAAGACGAAACCAGTGGATTGAACTTCATCGTTGCGGTGGTACCTGTAAGGCAAAAGATTACCGTTTATTAGGATTTTCAAACTACAACAATGATGAATTTTAACAAATGTCAGCAAAATCACGTGGTTTTGAATACAACGATAGTAACTATATAGGTTACAAAAACACTACAGAATTTTATTTGCACTGAATTCTTAAAAAAGAAGCGAATCTATACGCGTGCATTAACAAACAAGATCGTGATTCTCAATATAACATGTAACGTCGAAACTTCTCCCTTTAGTCCGATTGAAATCGATTTCGATTTCAACGAACTCACCGTTTACGGTTCTATTTCTTGAATTCCACCGGAAGAAAGATCTTGCGTCTCTCCAGCGCCGGAAACGTAGGATTTACTGAATTAACTATACAAGAGTCGATTCAACGAAGTTGCGATTGTTCTGCGCAGCTTGGTTTTCGTCAAGTCTACATGTTTCATAATCAAGGGTCAATCGCAACTTCTCTTACGATGTTTATGATGTTGAACTGCATACCCAGTGATTTTTAATTCAATGTACTCTTTTACTTCTTATCTATACTTCGTAACTATTCATATATTTTGCCCACCGTATATATGACCACCATGGTAAAAGTATACTGTAGGGAGACTTCGTATTCACAGCTAGGAATCCCCCTAGACTTTCGAGATGGAACGAAGTACATACAATATGTTAGAAAAATAATAATTTGCGATTTGATTCATCCTCAAATTTATTTCGAACTAATAAATACAGCGTTAGAAAGGATAACAATGCTTTGATTAAATAATCATATTAGTATTATCATAGTTTCTTTCTTGTTTTCCCCACGTTGTTCTAGTTATTTGCAATTCTTCCGCGAACAAGAAATTCTTGTCGAGGAAAAGCTGTTCGTTGCTGTTTCTCTGACATAACACGACGAAACGTAGTAGCAGGTCAAAAATTAGTGTGGTTCGTAGTAAATGGTGGGTGTTTGCGTCGTTTTAGAGTGACGGCATTACCATTTCCAAGGTTTGGTGAAAATATTACAGTAATGGGATTACTAATTGCAAAGAAGAATTCGTCGTATCGTAAAAATGGAGTGAGTAGACCTAAATAATCGATATACATATTGCCATTTTAAAAAAGCAAGTGTTTTTGTTTATGTTTTTGTTTCGAACGTGAAATTTAGACAGCGTAGCGTGTAAATATAACAAAGTTTAATCGATAGATTGTTCAAAATAGATAGTTGTTTTTCGTCGAAACGAGAAATTAAAATATAATTTGACAACTAGTAGAACATATTTTATCCATTTTTACGCTTCTCGTCGGCGATTAGCTGCTTAATGTTCCATTATTTTTTACACTAATACGCCATACCGTATCATGGTCGAGATCTCATTTTCGTAATTAATATTTGACGTCGTTCAACTTATTAGCATCGTAGTAAAAGTTTAACTTCGACAAGAAACAACGAAAACCGTAGCTTCTGTACTCGTATTACGATATATCGCGATTAATTAAATTACTTCGTGCGAATTAGTGTAATTTAATTAATTAAACGTAAACGTTGAAAATTGAAGAAAAAAAAGAAGATAGACATAAAGGTGGTACCGCATAAGTGCTAGTTAGTTAATCAGCGATATATAGTACGTATACGTATGTATGCGTATGTCTGTAATAGAAAACTTTGATAGTATGTCCCGGTAAATACGGTGTATCGTATGTCGGGATATATGAATTGTGAAATTTTCGCTGAATTCAGTTACACACAATTACACGCATATAAATATGCATACGACTAATCGTTTTGTCGTTGTTTCAGGTCAATAGAAGAACGTTCAGGTCGATCCCCTAGGAAACGATACCTTTTCGATCGATAGGTTTGGCATCAGCAACAAGGATTTTCTTATAATTTCGTCGATAATATTTAAACGTAATGTTTGGAAGTTGGATCTGATTAAAAAAACGAGAAACATACAATTATCATTGAATAGAATACGGGAGAAATATAATTTCGTCGCAACGTAAAATGGGTTCTACAAGACAGCAGGATAATAGAATACTTGGCGGCGGGATATCTTTGCCTCAATGGATGAAAGGAAGAACCGACAACAGGTGTGTGTCCGGCTGCGGATTTCTAGAAACGTCCGAGTTCAACTCCGTGAAATTGTAATTTTTATCGTGGACTTGCGATTTGTCACGTTTTCACGAATAAACATTAATCGTCGATAAATATTTTACGGCCGTATAGACGATTATGTACGATGAACAAATTTTATAACTAGAGCGGAGTTAGAAACATTGTACTGTATAGTTGATTCTTTTTTTTTCCGTTTCTCTTTTGTTGCACTTTTTGGTTTGTTTGGCTCGTTTTTATTCGAGCTAATATATTTATACGTTTATTGAATATATAGATAAAGTATTTATAGGCGAAATTTGGCGAATAACGAGTTCGCGTGGCATCGTGCCCGCTATTCTTAGGCACACGACTGCGTTCACGAATGCGCTTGTTCATGTTTCTGGTGCGGTGTGTAGTGTTCGCATAGTCGTTTCGTTGTAGCCGTAGCCTTTTTGGTATATCGGTCGATCGGACGGATCTCGAACAACGCGTTTTCTACCTTGACGCGGTAAATTAACACGTGCGCACGGAAAGGCGTACTTGGCAGCCGAATATCGTACACCCGGTTTAGAAACCGTTCACTGAATCGCGTACCTTCACGGAATACGATTGTACCACGAAAAGTAAGACACACGCGTGGACTTCAAGACAATTCATCAACGAGTATCGATCGCTGAAATATCGATCGACGAATGGACCGTATCGTAACGATACGTATACTTAATTAGAAAAGTGGTGTAATTTTTGAGCGCTATATCGTGGACCGTAGACGTGCAAGTATCACGTGATCGATTCTTTCTTTCGTAACGAGCCGCGTACCGTTAATCGGTTCTTCACCGTATCCTAATTTCTCTCGTCTTTTTCACAGATTTGATTTTGATGAGAGTACGTTCAGTCCGCCATCTCACGACGATAGCTTTTTCTATTTACGATACCCAAAGTCACAGAGCCGATTGAACAGTTCGGAAGAATTCCGGACGATCGATGAAGTTCCGAAGAAAGAAGGACAAACTGTCACATTGCCCACAAGCAGCGTAACAGCGGAGAAAGAGAAAACCGTTCCCGATCCGAGAAAGACGCAAGAAATCGATTTTAGCAAGCATCCTTTGGCGTGTCAACCATTCGTACCAGTTTCGACGACAAGTAAAGGTATGGTATACGTACATTCCTAGCAATTGTATGACCGAATCTGTAGATCAGTTAACTCGTTAATTGAACGACCCTTGGTTGCATACTAATTCATCGATCGTTTCAGAGATCGACACCCGGAATTCGAAGAGTTCGTTACACGAAAACATAAAGACAAAGTCCCAGGGGATAGACGATGGATTTCACGGCGAACCAGCGCTTTGCGGAAAGTCGATTGTTCTCGTAGCCAGTCAGATGATGTCGAATAAATTTCATGAAACGTTTACGGCCGAATCGGCCGGAAGTCAACCGAAGAAAGGGAGTAAATCCTTGCCAGCCACTCCGCTCGCCTCGCCCGTTCAGAGCCCGAACAGTTCGCCGAAAGCTCGTCGTCGCGTAACGTCGAATCGTTACTTCACCGGTTCGTTCCTTCTCGATCGCGAGAAGTATCAAGGAGGTTCGATCTTGGCGAGTATATTAGGACAGTCCAGGGAGATCGTCACGGCCAAGATCGAAGAAGAGGATGAGACGAACTTGGAGCCTTCGCCACCTTCATCCAGAGCACTCGGTAGAAAACGATCTATATCCTCTCAGAATCTGACGTATGTCGGAACCGATGATAAGTCGACCATTGGTTCTAATTTATTGCGAGCGAAACCATCGGAATTGAGAGAAATGAATTTCTGGTCACCGACCTCAATGTAATAGATACGGTCCACGAATATTCCGATTTTGTCTATCTTGTCTTTTATATCGTCATCGATACATCTATCCGTTTATGCTTGAAATTTGTTCATCTAAGGAACAAGATGTTAATAATTTAATAATATTGATAAATATGTTAATAATAATAATAATGTTGTATCGCAAGAACAATGAATAATAATAATAATAATGTTAGTTATTTTATAGCTGTTTAAATGAATAGTTTGGTACATATTTGCTTGCAGTTCTTTAGGTTTATTACTTTTCTGTCAAGCAGACGAATACCATGAAAAATGATCGTATGTTTTTTGCGTGTCCACCTGTAACGATTATTATTTGTTTGCGGGCATGTACTCGTAACGTGTTTGTACAAACGCACGACTCTTCTCTCAAATAATCTCTTGATTCGCGATGGCGTGGTAGTTAACTTTTAGCAATATACTTTCAATTAGTTTAGTTATTTGAAATAGCCGACCATAGACGAATAGAACTATTCGCTATGTTGGAGAAGATTATGTTTGTCAAATTTACAAATAATCCGTTTTTCAGTTAACGACAAGCATAAGTTACCTAGAACAAGAAGTATATAATTTACACCGTTTAGTCAACTAGCGCTTCATCTTACTTGATTTTAGCTCGAGTAATGAAGGGAAGGAATTAAAAATAAGAAATATTTGTACCATATAATATACGATATGAGCATGTGTGAAAGCGCGTTTTGTTTAAAACGTTTACCGTACAAACGAGGATAGTAACGTTTAATGTAACATCCCCGTTGCGGTGGTCCCTAAGCCGGGTAATTAACGGTCGGTCATCGTTAATCTTTTTCCGTCGATAAACGTGATACCAACCGTCTCTCGTCAACGAAAGATAACGAAGTTATTATTCAGAGACCTTGGTGTACACGACATTCTCTCACAGCTGGATTATCGAGTTCGAAAGGAGAAAGTAACGCGATCGTAACGAGGACTAATTTTAGTAGATATATTCTAGAGTAACAATGAAGCGGATCAAACGTAGGAAAAATGTATGGGACGCGGAGCTGTTAGCGAAGTTGCGGCAGTAACTTGACGCGTCGCAACAACACGTTCGATCGATGAACCATCGATCAGCGTCACTAGCTACAAAATGCTCGAAGCTACGAATGGTAGAAACTCTCGATTCACATATTGTATCGTATTTTATAAAGATATGACAAATAAAAACAATCTTTTACGTTCTGTTTATCTTTTACTCACAAATCGTCGATCCTGCCATGAGTTACCTACACATCGAATCTCAACGTTCTCGATCATAGACGCGCGGTATCCAAATACGTTCAAACGTTGAAACAGTTCAATAGCAATTTACGAGGAGAACAAAATAAGAAAAAGAAATGAGTTCTTTCTGCCTCCGGGCCATACCTCTCATTGTCAGAGAAATCGGCCAACTTGGAGTCGTTGGCCATGCTCGTACCCTTACGCCTTACGCTTTGCCAATGTCAATTGCGCAACCGCCGCGATCAACGATAGGCCGATTACGTTCCCGTTCACTTTGCACCAACGTTGTTTCATTAACGTTCTCGCTTCTGCCTTTTTTTTCTGTCCGTTTCGATCTCGATTTTTTGTCGATAGAACGACTCGTAGATCGACTAGACTCGATACCCGAAATTACAAGCTTCAACGATTGAAAATTAAAGAGTAAAGTTTCGATCTCCTATTACTTTGATTACGATGATTTGAAATTAATTGCAAGGAAGAAGAGTATACTTTATTCACGCTGCTAAGTAATTCTATACTTTATACTGTGCACTCTATAATTCGAGGGATGGCTTGATTCGATAGCGAGAGGTATCGGTTGCCTCTCGAGATCTAAGTTAGCCAATTGCATGAATATCCAATGGTATCCGTCCTTTAGCCATAGGTGTACTTTTACGCGTAGGTGTTGCAATAATGCTCTACGACCCATGTTTCGATGAAATAAAACTCTTTTATTCTCCCGATGATTCTTCTTTATTTCCTGACGCTTCCTATCTCCACGTTATTTTGCTCAAATTAGCCCTGATACTCAAACAACCGATCTTTTAGGATCATCGCCGAAAAAACGTGCAAACTCGTCTGTGGTGTCTTGACCTCATACAGTAAGGCCCAGTATTACGCTTCAGTTTCATATAGGCGTGCATGCACGCTCATGTGCATGTATACCCACGTGTCGCAATATTGGCTGGTTGTAAACCATCCGTACAATACAGCTGCCTTCGGTCACTCGGACACCCGATATCGAGTTTTCGGTGAAAAAATCTTCCCAGCCGTCTGTCTGTCGGGGGTAGCTTTACTAGATCTCGAGTATAAATAGGCTGGCAGATTTGTCAAATGCATCCAAATCATTTGTTGCTTTCAAACCGTAAGGAAAACAGCAATCCTCAACCCGCGTCATCATGTTTAGGGTGAGTAACCGCTTACACAGTAAAAATAAGCTGATCACAATTTTGAACAAACGTTTCAATACGAAACGCTTACCAATCACATTTCATTTTGATTTTCCCGTAACGAGTATGCGAAAAAGAAAATTTTCAAATGGGGATTGAATAGTTTGGGGACGGAGGATAAAGGGGGCAGAAAATATTAAAATCTGTAAGTTGTTAACAAGGATTTGTTTGATTACAGTTCTTGGTAATCTGTGGTTGCTTGCTGGCAGTCGGGCAGGCCGGAGTAATCGGTGGTGGTTTACTCGCAACCGCGCCTGCAGCGCTTGCCGTGCAGCCAGCAGCAGCTTCCCTTCCTTTGAACGCAGCCGCCGCGGTGGCAGTACCAACGATCGCCACGTCGACCTCTAACGTGATTCGGGGTATCGGTAACTTAGGTGCCATATCAGCCTACTCGAAGAGCGTAGATACGCCATTCAGTAGCGTCAGGAAAGCGGACGTGCGCGTTAACAATCCTGGAATCGTGACGGCGACCGCTGTGCCCGCCCCAGTAGTCGCGGTCGCTAATAGCGCCGTTGCAGGTACCTGATTGCTGGGTGCCAATTAACAATTTCTAATAGCCCCCTACGAACATACTTTACTCTCTTTTATCGCTAGACACCGGGAGATTCGCTTTTCTCGTGTACCTTTTCTCACATTTTTCACTCATGTCAACGTAGTCGCGCATACGTGCTCGTACATACGAGCGATATCGGGAAGATCGAGATCGGGCGCTCGGCAATCGCTTGCCGACACGCTTCCTTTCTATGCATTAGAACTAGAACCGATATTATTAGTCCGCTTTTCTCGTATCTGCTTTGCGCTCTATCGTTCTAATCACGTCATTCTACACTTTACGCCTGACTTTCCCCTTTTATTTCTTTTCACTTCTTTGTTATCGTCACCGTTGTTATCGTTATCGTTTACTGTACCTATCGTTCGATATGTCCTCTGTCAATACGTTCATGCATATACGGTTCCAAAAGAATAGCTTTGTACGGTTATAATCGGTAACGATCGCCAACGCGACAACGGTTCTCGATCAAATTTGCCGTTAGTTTGTCTAAAGTGTAAAACGACTCAGGATGATTCACCATAATGTACCGGCGAAACGTTTTCAGCTCCAGTTACTGCTGCTCTTGCCGCGCCTACGCTCCTCGCTCCTGGACTGACTACCGCGATCGCAGCCGGACCTACCATCGCCACCGGCATCGCTGCCGCTCCCTTGGGACTCAACGGGCTAGCTTTGAACGGTTTGGGAGCCGTCAAGGTCCTCTAAGATTCCTTAGCCGAACATGATCACGCGGACCGTCGCGTTGTGCAAGATTCGAGCCACATTCGATTCTTCGCCAATGTCGACTGCACCTTGTTAACGTTCGTACCCTCGATAACTTTGCACCGTTTCGGCGCAAACGATCTACATGTCACAGAATGTAATAACAGAATCGAATAAACGTAAAATCGTTATGATACATCCAGTTCTTATCTTATCCTTTACCAACTTTCCTGCTACTTCGCGTTAATATGTTCACCGATCTATGTCGATCGAAAATTGTTTTACTTACCTAGATATCTATGTACAATTTAACTAGAAATATCTACATACAATTTACCTGACTATCTGATATAACAATTTATCTGCTGTGAACATACAATTTATCTGACTGGAAGTACATGCGAAATCGAGAATGATCAAAATAAAACATCATACAAGTAATACGAAACTTTTAACATTCTAAGTCGACAAAATGTAAAACAATGAACAATGTAACGAACGAGGAGGGAAGAAGTGATAATACATTCGTGTACATTTCAGTTAGGCCTGTTGTATTTAATAAATAAGAATAGGTGTACAAAAGCATAGAAATACAGGTCGGTATTTGCGGTAGAAGTACATTGGTGAAATATTACCGCGTTTTATCTATCGAAGAAACGAGGCAATGGTCGAATTACCAGGAGTACGAGACACCGATAGGACTGCTGTAAGCCATGTGCGAAACAGCAACCGCCGGCGAGTAAGCAACACCGAGGAGCTGGTTAGAATGAGCGATCGGTGCGGCGGCGGCAAGAGGTGCCGCGTATTGTGTCGCCACATGTGCGAAGGGTGCAGCGTGCGCGTAGATGGCCGGGTTCGTTACGCGGATATCGGATTTGCTGGAGCTGGAGAACGGTGTGGAAATCGTTTTCGATTGGGTAGCGATCTGAGCCAGATTTCCAGAACTGCGAAGAATATTGTCGGATGTGGATGTCAAGGCTGCGGTCGTCAAGGTGTATTGCGCGGGGCTGGGTAGAGGTGCCAAGAAACCGGCATTGCTCGATGCCACCCAGCAAGCGACCACAAGAATTACGATCTACGGGTAGAAAGAATTTAGAAGAAACACTCGATTAAATCCTCGAAGTTCTTTGACTTACCTTGGAGAACATTGTAAGGCGTAGAGAATCGGGTTGTTTCGTAGAATGTTCGTCGACGACGTACGAAGGCAAATGCGTGTCGAACGTTTCGTAGCCGAATTCTTATATAGGCCGAACGACTAAGCGAGCGAGATGGACATTTCGCCGAATCAGGTGGGGTACAAGGGCGTGTTTCGGCCGGGCACCCGAAAAACTTTCGCCATAACAACGCGCGTGCGATTATTCGCTCGCTTTTCTCGGGCCACGCCCGATCCCCTTTTCTGCTTTCTTTGCCTTTTTAACCTTCCTCTCGACAAAATCACTTATTCCGTCCGACCTTGGACTAAAAATCCAAAACCGCGCTGCGGCGACTGGTTTGCTTGCGGAAAAAGAACGCTATGAGATCCGCGTGTATCCCCTTCTTGCTAAATTCCCTCGATGTAACATACCGATCCATAACGTTTAAACTTTAATAGCTACTGCTTTCTAAATGATTCGTGCCTATGAAATTTAACGTAACCGATTTCTATCTTAATGTTCTTCAAATTCTACTTCGATCTCTTCCACCCTCTCTTGAATGAAACCCACGGTTTTACGTATAACTTGAAAAATGCAGATTTATCCTGTAACATAGATGGAGACCTATCATTAGAAAAGCAATGTAATTAAGTGACAAGTAAAATGTTGCGTTAATTTACATGCTTTCTCATTTCATTGTATGTGCTCCATAGTCATCGATTTTTAAAAATAGAGTCGCTAGCTCTGCCCAACGGCGAGCGGAGGAACCAAAACAGCCTACATTCATTTATTGAGTGAGCGAGCGAATATTTCGGCACTTTGACGACGTAGTACGGTTCCTGAGGCATTTAGAAACAAATTTCTATTAGGGTTTGATGCGTTTCGATGCCTAATAAAGCCAGAAAATCAATTTTTGTCGAATTCGGTCGAAAACGGCACAGGTGGCGCCATCTAGCGGCGAGCGGCGGAACTACGAAAAACTAAAATTTTAATTTTCTCCGAAATTAGACAATTTTACGTATTTCGGAGAGTCAGAAATTGTTCTGTGACCTCTTTAGAACTTATATATTGCCACAAGAACCTCCTAGAAGCGCTAGAAAAGAAAATAAGAAAATAGCCCATTTCATGGACTAAAAAATTGCCGTCCATCTAGCGGCGAAAGTTGGAACTACAAAAATAAAAGTTGGAACTACAAAAATATAAAAACGCGATTTTCTCGAAAATTAGCGAACTTAGAGTACTTCTGAGGCTCAGAAAGTGTTATGTGATCGCATTGGGAGCAAAATAACGCAATAAAAGTTTCCTGAAAGCTTTAATAAAGAAAATAAAAAAAATGTCATTTTATGGAGAAAATTTGTGGCGCCATCTAACGGCGAAACTGCGAACTAAACTGAAAAAAACGTATGTCCGAACACGCGTTAAGGAAAAATATAAAAATTAATATTTTGCAACTTTGACGACATAGTATGCTTCTTTAGATATTTTAAAGCAATTTTTGTTAAATAAGTTATTCTTCTTTTTGCCTATTAAGTCCAGAAAATCAATTTTTATTTGACCCCTTTACGGCGTGTTCGGACATACGTTTTTTCAGTTTAGTTCGCAGTTTCGCCGCAGATGGCGCCACAAATTTTCTCCATAAAATGACATTTTTTTTATTTTCTTTATTAAAGCTCTTAAGAAACTTTTTTTGCATTATTTTGCTTCTAATGCGATCACATAACACTTTCTGAGCCTTAGAAGTACTCAAAGTTCGCTAATTTTCGAGAAAATCGCATTTTTATATTTTTGTAGTTCCAACTTTCACCGCTAGATGGACGCCAATTTTTTGGTCCACGTTTTGACCTTTTTTTTTATTTTATTTTCTAGCGCTTCTAGGAGGTTCTCGTGGCAATATATAAATTCTAGAGAGGTCACAGAACAATTCCTAACCTTCCGAAATACGTAAAATTGCCTAATTTCGGAGAAAATCGAAATTTCAGTTTTTCGTAATTCCGCCGCTCGCCGCTAGATGGCGCCACTGGTTCCATTTTTTTTTTTTTTAAAATTCAATTAACGTTAATTAGTGTGCTACATATTTACTAATATTAATTTTATAATGCTTGGAATATATTCCATTATACTCGAGTATAGTGAAATATTAATTTTTTATCATCGCTAGGTATACTTTTATTGGTATCACAAAATGGCCACTAGATGACCAAGCATTGCAAGGTCCATGGATTGCAATCATTTTAATTTTCGATTCTAACATTCAAATTAAAGTTAGTTGAGCTTGATTGAATTAACAAGACATTACATGTGTCCTAATAACACGTTTAGCTTGCATATTTTACAATAAAAAGCAGTTTGTCTGTAAGTTAGTTTCTTCATCCACCACTGAGTGACGCTGACAGTACCGTTAAAAAAGCGCGCATTTATTTGAAATAAAACATCCACCTCTGCTCTTGAAACTTGAATACAACATGATCAATTTATAGTATTTCTTGCTAGAAAGCTAATTTGTAGTTATGTGTGCTACTGTTGATTGGACTGCATCGATATCTGAATAAACAGTACCCTTAATAATCCACATTTAGAATTTAATTCAATCACTAGTCAATAAGTGGTTAGGTTAATCGATTGCAGTCATTTCACGCAAAATATTTTCATTTCGATATGAGAGGAATGAAAATTGTCGTACGGTAAATAGAAACACTTCATTACAACAATGTTTCTCGTTTAATCTTCGTTCGATACTGTCCTGATACCTGAAAACACAAAAACAATATCTGACAGACAACCATGTTGGAAAATAATTTATTGCAATGAAAAATAATTTGTAATCGATGGTGACGTAACGATCAGCAAGTTATCGAGACTATAGCAAAAGTCATGGTGACCGTAAGAATAAGTGGCTGGCTAGTTACCTGTACCGGCTAACACGCGCTTGCATACTAGCGCTCGCGCATCGGTCTTCGCTTACCTGTTAACACGGCAGTCACCTTGTAGCGTGGAGCGGAACGCCATGTCGTGGTCGAGGCGTGCAGCGGGCACGCTGGAGAGTGCATATTAGACGGCGCGAGGCGCTCAAGCTCGAGCATTCGCCGACGAGCGCTCGGTGAGGTCGGTGTTGAAGTGTTTTCGTGGATCGCGTTTTCGTTCGCGTATGTCTGATCCCTCCAAATTTCGTCGTAACTCGTTCGATCCCGTAACAGTGAACAGTATCGAACCTAAACAAACGAACGCGAAGTTACGCAGCGGGTGATTCGATCGCGAAATTCAGTGAATTTATTGTCACAAGTGGATAACAGGTAATTTATTTCGAAGCTTCCCACATTTTTACGTCAAACGATATCGCATGGCGTCACTGTAAAGAAAGGAAACTACTTGTTCGCGCGTACACGGTTAACATCTGTTCGCTGTTTAATATTTGCACACGATGGTCGACCTTCTGGAGGTCGTGGATTCAATGGCTTTTCGTTACACCTGAATTGTCACTTTTGAAACGCCTTCGAGTTATCTTTCGTTTGTCCGCAAATACATACACCAGTAGGTTAACCTCTTTTCTCGCTTGGTACGCCTGTGCCGTGTCTGTCATCCGACGAGCACCATATTACGGTTGCCCGCGATAAAATGTTTAAAGCGTGAACCAGCTCCGGTCGGTGTACGCGTGTTGTTTGTAAAAGAAACGCGAACGCAGACGATCCGGTACACGTTATTGATACCGAAATACAATTACATTTTGCGCGTAAAGCGTTCACGAATGTTCGATTTCGATCTTGCAGGGATCATGTTGCCTTCCGAACAATGTTACGTTATTCCGTATTTCCGCAATAAATAAACCTTCGCTGACAATAAAGTGCGTTATCTAATCTCAGATAATTTAACCGGTAACAAAACTTAAACATAAATTAATTCGTGAAATGGATCTCCTTTAGAGGTATCGATTATCGATAAATTATCGGTGTCTTATTGATACTTAAGACTAATGAGAGTGAACTGGATGCAAAATGTACTAGTCTGCCTAGCCTATAACCTAAACCTGTACCAGCGTTTCTCGTCGTAACTTTCCCGCTATGTAATCTACCCTCGACATAACCTAAATCCGATTTAATCATCACCGGCGTAACGTATCCTACCCTATCCTAACCACGATGTATCAATTAGATTTAAACAATAAAATTGCTTATTGAATTTGTACTGTTACATTTTGTAACAGTTACTCTTATTTGTATATCAACGACCAAGTGTACGGACAACATAAATACGTACGTTCAATTTTAGTGTTAAAAACACGTTTACAGATTTAGTGATACTTTATATTACTTTATATTAGATTTAGATACTTTATATTACATTAAACAAATACTTGTATGGCATACAATAACAATCGATATATCGAATTGACGATAATAATATTAATAACAGCACTTTTACTCTTTTCGTCTTTGCTCGTACATCTTCGTCTCTCTTCGCCCTTCCTCGTCCCTTTTCGGTTCTCGTTTGAAAGTATACGAATATATCCGCGATATTTCCTGCAAAATTAACCTAAAAAGGAGCATCGATCTTCTCGATATGTATTTGAAAAATCGTGGGCCGAAAAGGTCGCGCGAAAGGAAGACGGGAAGGAAGAAAGAAATAAGGAAAAAAGTAAAAATTCGAACGGCGCGACGTATGAACTGCAAGATCACGTGGGCGGTGCTCGAAGTCTAGTTCTCCGCGCGTCTTGCTTCCAGTATTCGTCTGTCCGTCGGAGAGAGCGAGTGGCTC